TTAGGGTTTAGGGTGCTTGGGGTTTAGGGTGTCGAGTTCTGCTATGGATCTAGATGAATAAGAAATTGCAGTCTGGGGCCAGCTTGCCATGCAGCGATCAAACCTCTTCCTGCCGGGATCGCACAAGGGTTAGTGGAGACATCGAAGCATACTAGTATAAAACAAATATAATATACCATAATCTAATAATCTAGTATAATATACTAGAATATGTTACCAGAATTCATTGGGGCCTCCAAAAATTGAACAAGCTCCATCAGCACACGTTACAGACGCAGTTCCAACTTTCGCCTGGAAAAAACATTCCTTCCATGCACTTGGCCCCCGACAGGAACTTAAACACTAAAGCGGACCAAAGCTGTGTCAAAGCTCGAACCCTGAAACTTTGCGGTCTTACAGGCCACAAGACGAATTGACACCTCATGGCTTTCCAGAAAGAAGAAGCAGCAACTGCAGCAACTGGGCATCTCGCTGTGCAAACATCCGGGCACCTTGCACGAGCTGTCGACGAACAGCCAAGTTCGCCTGAATCAAACACCGTTTCAAATGTCGAACCTATCCAAGCAAAAACAGCTCTAGCTTCGTGTCCATGGCCACCAAGAAAGAGCGTCCGGTGCAAACATCTCAGCCATAGCATCACGCAGGTGCTGTAAACAGCGGTTTTTGGCAATCATGGGCTGTGAGTGGCTCTGTCGCTGATCATTTCAATGAAAGCATGCCGCGTTTCCTTCAGCTTGAAACCGTGTGTTGTGTGACTCCTCCTTATTGCACTGCATCCCTTATAATTTCTTTAGCCGTCATACGTCATACTGCGAACATGCTGCTCTAGACAAAGGCTGCAAAGAAGTGCTGCCAGACCCGTAACTGAGAGTCAAACTGTCAGGAATCTAAACAAGGCAACTTTGACCTGCCAGGTGGGCACTTCGAACGGCTCAAACCTCAGGGATCCCATGGCCTTGGCAACAGGATCCTGTGTCTCTGCCTAGCCAAGCTCAACAGGGCTCAAGACTCAGTCGAGTCAGCAGAGTAGCAGACGGGAATCCGGGTGTGCGCACAACTTGTAATTGCTGAATTTCTGCTCCGCTGGAAGCGCCCGTGCTGGCCTCGGCAAGCAAGCATGTGCAGATGGACAAAGCTTCGGCCAAAGACCACAGAAGAGGGAGGGGACGAGAGGACTCGATCAGGATTCGGACGTGATGCCAGTCCTCGAGCCTGGCATTTTCCCACAATCAGACATGGAGCAAGCCGCTGGCAGCGCACCTTGGGGTACCTTTGACCAGTTGACAAAAGAGTCATGGCACCTTGCTCATGCGCATCAGGCCAGTCTGCAGCACAAAAATGCCAGAGTGCACAGGCTCCGGCAAGCTCGCCCAAAAGACAAGGCAGATACACCTTGCGCAGGTTTGCGAAACATCTGTGCATGTTGGTGTATCTACCTGTTGGCCTTGCTGGGAAGGTTGATGCGCTGCACGGCGCAGGACGGTGGGAGTGCCGCATCTTGCTCAAGGATTTGAAAGGCTCAAACCAACCAAGTTTTTATGATTATGTTGCACTGCAAGCACTGTTTCTTACCCCTCAACCTCGCTGTATGTTTGTAAAAGCCACAGCTCCTGTGCTCCATCGGGAAATCACACTTTGTTCGCTTCTTGTCTGCATGGTAAGAGCCAAACCTGGAGCACGAAAGAAACACCAAATGCATTGCCAAAGCATCCTTTTGAAACACTTTGAATTTTGCTTTTGAAGCACTTGCACTTGCCATTACAAAGCTTTGGGGGGGCATCATTCTGATCATTCTTGTTGGGATTGATGAACTGGTAAAAGAGATGACAAGTTGCGCGAAAGGCTTGTGGTTTCGGGATCCTTCAATTATGTCAAGTACTGTGGGTGGGGTTCCTGCGAGCACGGGTCGTGAGACTTTTAGGCTACGCCGCGTGTAATCGTCGTATATGTCTGCGTCTGCACAATAAATGCAGAACTGGCTAGATAAATAAACAAACAGAAGAAAGAAATAAAGACATAAAGGCATAAAGATGCAAAACATACAGACATAAAGAAATGGAGAGATGGATTCATCATCGCCATCGTCATCGTCATCGTTATCACCATCATCATCATCATCATGGAGCAGGTCTGTGTTCTTGCGTTATGACTACAAATACAGCTGTATATTGTGCATGTTCTTTTTTTGAGCAAGATATCCTGTGCCATGGGCGGCAGGAGAACCCTAAACCCTAAACCCTAAACCCTAAACCCTAAACCCTAAACCCTAAACCCTAAACCCTAGGGGAAGCCTTCACCGGATTGCCGCAAATTAGAGCAAGGAAACGTTGCAAAGGCCGGAGGCGAACACGGAACACCGGGGTCGACTTTTCAAAGCAATCGCCGGCATCGGTCGGGCTGTCAATCACCCCCATGTATCCCGGCGCCTCCTACCCAACCCTAAACCCTAAACCCTAAACCCTAAACCCTAAACCCTAAACCCTAAACCCTAAACCCTAAACCCTAAACCCTAAACCCTAAACCGAAGGGGGCTCATAGTCGTCTGCAGTTCGTGGAAATACATCGCGACAAGCCCGGGCGGGATGAGCCAAGGGTTCGCGACGACACCTGAGAGAAACTCACAGGGGGTCGGACAAGGGTTTAGGGTTAGGGGTTTTTTTTAGGGTTTAGGGTTTAGGGTTTAGGTTTAGGGTTTAGGGTTAGGGTTTAGGGTTGAGGGTTGCCGGTTTAGGATTTGGGTTTAGGGGGAGCTTGCACCAAGAGTGGTCAGCAAGGGCTGTTTGAGATAATTTCCTTTATGCAGAGAGCCCAGTACCCTCTCATTCAGGGAGAAGAAAACCCTAAACCCTAAACCCTAAACCCTAAACCCTAAACCCTAAACCGCTTGAATTTCGGCTTTAATCTTCAGGGAAAAGGCCCCTAAACCCTAAACCCTAAAGTCGAAAATCTTCGAGTCGGGCTGCGCCAGATGTGGAGCCTAAGATCAAAATCATGGGTTTAGGGTTTAGGGTTTAGGGTTTAGGGTTTAGGGTTTAGGGTTTAGGGTTTAGGGTTTAGGGTTTAGGGTCAAAATCATGGGTCCCTAATCCTGGCTTATACCTACTATATAACCTACGGGTACCCTTTGAGGGTCCTTAGAAGGGTTTAGGGTTTAGGGTTTGGGGTTTAGGGTTTAAGGGGAATCCACCCAAAAAGGGCTATGGGCCCAGAGTAAGGGCCAGTACTTCTAACCATTGTTGTTCAGGGTTTAAGGACTGCTAGCGGCTTCCTGGGCTTTTTGCTCTTCGCCCAGCTGCACATAAGGACGCAGGCGCCAAGCGCAATGAGGACGATCGTACCCTCGGATCACAACTTCCAGAACTCTCATTGCAGGCGTTTAAATGGGATTTTAAATTTCTTGGGTTTGGGATTCGTTACCAGAAGCTAAACCCTCTTTTGGCCTCCCATGAAAGTGGCACACAGACCCAACATGCGATCCCCTTACCTCATTCAAGCTGTTTGTATCCCAGAGACGAGCGCGTGAGCCACGCCGTCAATGGGCTTGCCGTCCTTCGGAGTAGTCCCGCAAATATGCATGGCAACCATGATGCACCAGACCACTGCCCAGAAGATCTCAGTGCCGGCAGACAGTAAAATCGGCAGATGCTTGAACACACAAAACCCACACGCACACACACACACACACACACACACACACACACACACGCACACAGAGACAGAAACAGGTTAGCTGAACCTGCCAAGGTCCCTACAAATTCTACATTTGGTCTCATATTAGGATCCTACACCTTATTACCCCTTAAAGGAACCTTTAAACGAACCGCAAACCCCTTAAAGGAACATCCAGTGGCTTGTGTTGTCGTCGACTCCTTCTCGTCCATCCAGGAATCGAATTCCAGCAAGCTATGAGCTTCTGCATGGTCACCCTCCAAAGTGTGCAATCCTCAGTTGGGTTTGGGGTTTAGCTGGTTTAGGTGTTTGCGAGGGCTTGAGGGCCTGCAGATTGGGGTTTAGGCTTTCCTTTTCTGTAAAAAAAAAACACAAAAAGGGCCAGACACTAGGGGACGAATCCGGATGCAAACCCTAAACCCTAAAACCCTAAACCCTAGACCGCTACAACCCAAAACCCTAAATTCTAAACCCTAATCCCGAAAATCCAACGAAGGGTCTCTCGGACTTCACTGCTCCTGAGTCTGAGTCCTCTTCCTTCATGTGATTCTTGGCCTTCTGGTTTAGGGTTTAGGGGTTTTAGGGTTTAGGCCTTAGGGGCTTAGGGCATGCGGCTTACGGTCAAGGGTTTAGGGTTTATGGTTGGGGTTCTAGGATTTGGGTTTTAGGGTGGTTTGGGCTTCGGATTAGGGTTTTAGGGCTTAAGTACGGGTTTTGCGGTTTATGGTTTAGGCGACCTCCTCCTTCATGTACTGCTTCGCCTGGTCTGCTTTGCCTCAGTCCCCCTGCTTGGAGGTTCATGGGTAGTTATAAGTGTGGTTATAAGTAGAGTGACTGCAGCTATATCCCACACTAAGGGACTTATAACCCCATTTATAACCACCGACCGGCTCTAAAGACCGGCGAGTGGACGGAGATCGCTAGCCAAAGAGACTCCGAAGCCCTTAAATCAAGAAACATACCCCAAATCATAGTAGGGATCGTTTAAAACTTTACTTGTGATGGACAGGTTTGGAGTTCCGGATGATGAGACATCGCTTTGTCGTGAACAACTTGCGTGTTTGCGCCTACTCATGTATGAGGGATCGCTGACAGTTTCACATGATCTTCGCTGAAGAACATGTGTTTGGAGGCTCTGGGTGTCGCTCTCGGGATTGAACATCGCTTTCCCATGAGCAGTCAGCTTGTCCGCCCCTAGTCATGTTGCAATTTAGCCCCTCGCAAGTCTCGGGGAAAACCTAGAAAACAGCTGCCAGAGCTTGACGGAGGGGCTTAGCAGATCTGCCGTGGGGGTATCACCGCGCGTCCTGAGGTACTCTTGGCAGTGCTCTGGCAAGCTCAGCGTTTGGCCATCAAGATCTCCGCGGTTGTAACCAGGCACATTCAAGAAATACTTTACGAATTCTTCCAGCTGGTTCTTCTCATCCTTTGTTCCGTCCTTCAGCAAACACTGGTCTTTGGACTGCATCTTCGCCTGGAAGCTGGGGTTCTAACCTTAAACACCTCTCCCTAACTAAAGTTGCTCCGGGAACTAAACCCCCGCCCACCCCTGAAAAATTCGCCCTTGTGATTCGTGTGCTCAACTTCTCAGCCAGCTGCCCTCGTATCTCCAACAGCTGAGCCAAGTGGGCATCGTGATGCTCTATATGGTTTTAATGACAGCATTCCCATATCTGAACCCCATCTTCATGTGGACTTCGAGCGATGCCGGCAAGGTTTTCAGGCTACGAAGGGGTGAGCTTGCAAAACATCAAAACCCACTGAAGGGCATGACCTGGCATCCAAGCTGCTGTCTCGATCATTATTCTGGGGCGCTTCAGCACGAAGCTTACGAGAACAGAGTGCCTTAGAGCCCAGAAGTCTCGTTGTCCCACGTCTGGTACAGCTATGCCAATCGCAGCTGAGCTTCGGCTTTGCAGCCACGGAGAACTCAGTGGAGTCTTGGAGAAATTCAATGGGCTTCTCTTTCGCGGCGTTGTATTCCGCAGTCGTCAAGCGATCCTGTGTCAGCTGCGAGGGTAAGCACAACAACAATCACGGACACTGTCTGGTGCCATGCTAAAAACAGACCCTAAACCCTGGACCCGAACCCGAACCCTAAACCCTAAACCCTGAACCCCAATCTGCTAAGGGACCCAAACCCTCCCCAGCCTTGCGACGGCGCCAATGCTTTATGTCCGTTTTGCTCCCTCGGCGCTGTGCTGCTGCGAACTTCCCGGCATCTGTCCTGGCATAGGGAAGCTTTCTTGGATTTAGGGCTTAGGGTATAGGGTTTGGGGTTTGGGGTTTAGGGTTTCGGGGGGTTAGCCCCGAGTTGGCCTGCCTTGCCGGAAGCGTCTCCAAGACTTGGAGCACTTCCGCGGCTTCCGCCCAGAGCTGTGCAGTCTGCTTCATGGTCGTCAGGCCGGCGCTTGAAGCCGACACTGCGTCCATGTCTTCCAACCTCTGGGCAACCTCAGGGGTTTGAGGCTGCACGGGTTTGGAGTTTAGGATGTGGGGTTTAGGGTTTAGGCTTAGGGCTCAGACATCGCATGCATTGACGCAGCAAGAAAGCTTCAGTAAAGGCACATCCAGGGCCATGGACTTCAATGCAGGGATAGCTTCACTGGCAAGTGCTTCATCGGCTGCCTCGTGGCTGCTGCCACCAACTGCTTTGCATTTCTGCTGGTCACCGAAGGGGGCGAGTGGACTGGGCATCTCACCTTCGGCAACTTCCATGCAAAAGGCGGCTGGCCCGCACTTGTCGTCATCGGAGTTGTAGAAGCAGCGGTAGGCGCATGTGCTGGAGCTGCCTGAGAGGCAGGAGCTCTGGCCCAGCATGGTGTCCAAAACCATCATGACATGACGACCTGGAGCCGCAAGAGGCTCGGTGGGCTTCCCTGCGACTTCCGCAAATAAATAGGAAGGTGTTTCTTCCGACGCCAGGCTTACCGCTTCGATATCGATGCTGGCCTGGCCTCCCTTGTAGAAGTAGTAAGGCTTCTCGGAGCCCTTCTGATAGACAGGGTAACCGGCATAGCGCCAAGAGATGGTGCTGCGTCACGACCATCTCTGTGCGGATCCACAGGATCTCGTCCCTGTCATATTTGCTGGGCCCCCAGGAGTTGCCTTCAAAGGCTTGCCACCCCGAGATGCCGACAACGGCCATGGTTCTGATTTCCTTGGTCATTACTATAGCATCCGGCATGATGCGATACTTCTTGTCCATGCCGGTAATCTCCACATACTTGGTTGTCTGGCCCTGCCCCGCCCACCCTTCCCTGCCCTCCCCTTCCCCGCCCTGCTCTGCGCTGCCGAAGCACTGCCGCCTCTATCAGCATCGGCATAACTGAAGGTGATTGTAGCATTTGTCCATGTTAGGCTGCGCAAAAGCGGATTCTCTTTTCCTTTCGCCCACATCGTGTGCAAGGAGAACGACCCGCCTTCATCCAAACCAGCCATATACTCATGAAACCTGGTGCTCTGCTCCATGTTGCTGGCGGCCATAGAGACCGCCTGTGCATTGTTGAACCCATGCCTTGCTGCAGAGACATCGTGAACAGCCAGCATGAAGATGAAGGCCAACGCTAGGTTCTGCCGGGTTGACAGCCGCATCATAGCAGCCGGTCTGGAGTTAACAATCAACTACGTAAAGACACAAATATTGCGCTGTAGGCTTTGAGCATGAATGCTGAAGATGCAGACAGTCTTTAACTGCAACTGCTCCAGCTGCAGGACGAGAAGGCCTACTTGACAAAAGAATCTTTGCTATTCATGCAAACTCAAGGTTCTCATCTTCCGTTGCCGTTAACCTCAACCCTAAGACCTAAACCCTCAGAGGACCTAAACAAACTCGATGCAAACTCCCCCGCCAGCGGCAGCCGCAACTTTTTGGCTGGTCGCCAGCTAGTCGTCGTCGCCACCCCAGTCGCCGAAGTCGAAGTCTCCGAACATGCCTCCTAGGGATTCAGGGCTCCGGGTCTAGAGGATCAGGGTTGCGGTTTAGGGGTGTTTAGGGTTTAGGGTCTCAGGGCTCCGGATGTAGAGGGTCAGGGTTTAGGGTATAGGGTT